TTATTCAACTCTTGGTATTAATATTTAAACACAATATATTATTGTAAAATAGATTGGATTAGCCTAACAAAAAGATAATGCTTATCATTTTTTTTTTCAAATGGATATCGGATTAGGCTTTATGGTTGAGGATTTATATTTTTAACAATCAAATGTATTATGAGCTGTAAATTCAAACAATTAGTATCTTTGTTCATGATTTTAAATTATTTATTTCAAATAATCCTCGGTTGAGGATTAGGATGTTTGTAATATGAATATTCGGTTAATTTAATTTTTTGTATGTATATTCTTTAGGTGTGAAATATACAAATATTAGACTAATATATTTTCATTGAAGACGGTTATTAGATAGAAATTAAAATATTTAGAAATTTATTTGTCATAGAAATAAAAAATTAATATATACAATCTAAAAAAAAAAACATAAATTCAATTGTGATATATGATGCAATCGTGTAACATAAATGTAATGTTGTTTGTTGTGATAAATATATTATAACTAAAATCAGCTATTTTTTAGGACTCTTTTTAATGAAAGTGGGGAGTGGTGCTATTTTTTAGTACTCTTCTTAATGAAATGGCGGGTGGTCAAAGCTTGATAATTGGCGGGTAAATATGGCGGGAATTCCTTAAATGGTTATTCTTTTAATATAATTATAGATACGTAACTTTTATATTGTAGTTTATCTTTTGCGCGGCAATAAATAGAGTCCTATGAGCTCTTAACGTCCATGTAAAGAAATACCAAAACCGAATGGTTTCCATCTTTTGTGAGCTCCTAATACCATAGAATGAAGATACTAAACACTAAAAAAAAAAAGTGAACGAATGCTGGAAAAAAATCAGCATCGTGTCAGTTTGCTTCGTCATCCTTGCCTCCATGATGGTCGCCCTAACTATCGGCATCTGTGGCGGTGAAGAGGACGACATCCCGGACTTGTCGTCGTCCCAAAAGGTCGTTTCGCGCATTTGCTCGACCACCGACTATAAACACTCGTGCGAAGACGCTCTCGTCTCATCCAACTCCACCAACCCCAAGGACCTAATCTCGATCGCCTTTCGAGTTGCCATTCGTCACGTCATCGAGGCTGCCGGGAGTTCGGCCACGCTCCACGCGCCCAGGCCCGACCCGCAGGTCCGTGCCGCCCTCGATAGTTGTCGCAAGCTGGTGGGCTGGGCCGCCCGAGACCTCGAGCGATCGTACGCCAAGTTGGATGAGTTCAACATCACCACTGACAACCTCGTCGAGCTCAAGGTGTGGCTCAGTGGCGCAATCACCAACGAGGAGACGTGCCACGACGAGTTCGAGGGTGTCTCGGGTGATGCGTGCGGGCGGATGTGGGCCGCCCTCAAGCCCCCCATGGAGATGACGAGCAACGCGTTGGCTATGGTGGCCAAGATCTCGACTTTTTTGTCGCCGAACGAGTTTGATTTGGAGCCGATGAGGAGGCTCCACGCGACGGATGAGGCCGAATGTCGTGGTGGTTAAGGATGGAACCGGAAAGTACCGAACGAGGCCTTGAGGGATGCTCCCAAGAACAACAATCGAACGTTTGTGGTTTACGTGAAGGATGGCGTGTATGAAGAGAGGGTTTGGATCAATAGTAGCTCGAAGCACGTGATGATCGTTGGGGATGGCCCAACTAAGACGAGGATCACTGGGAGGTTGAACTTCATCGACGGCACGGGGACGTACCAGACGGCCACAGTTGGTGAGTACAAATCTAATCCAATTCATCATGCATTAAATCACGTAAAACGATATCAGTTATTTGTATACTCGAGTCATAATGACGACGATCTATTAACACAACTTCGGTCAAATTAGCCTACCGCCACAACTTACTAAAAACGGTATGAGTTGAGTTTTCTAGATAGATTCTGAAACTGGAAAAAGTTAATTTTGTAGTCGTGTAAGCGGACAACTTCATCGCTCGGGACATCGGGTTCGCAAACTCGGCGAGCGCGGAAAAGCACCAAGCGGTTGCCTACGAGTGATGGCCGACCGAGCAATCTTCTACAACTGCCACATGGACGGTTGCCAAGACACGCTGTACGTACACACATACCGTCAATTCTACCGTGACTGCATCATCTCTGGCACCATCGACTTCATACTCAGAAATGCCGCAGCCGTTTTCCAAGGCTGCACGTTGTTCGTCAGAAAGTTGCTCGATAACCAAAAGAACGTCATAACCGGGCGTAAGGACGTTCGTCATCCCACATGCCTCGTCCTTAAGAACTGTACTTTCAAACCCGACCCGAAATACTACTCGAACCGTTACAAGATCAAGTCATACTTCGGAAGGCCGTGGAAAGAGTACTCGAGGACCGTAATCATGGAGTCGTTTGTCAATGACTTTATCCAGCCACAAGGGTGGCTTCCATAGAATGAGACCTTCGCACTCAAGACCCTCTTCTACACCGAGTTCAATAATCGTGGGCCCGGCGCACACAAGGCCCATCGGGCCAAGTGGGCCAACATCAAGGAGCTCACGCCGGCCCGTATCCAGCAGTTCACCGCAGCCGAGTTCTTGGATGGAAACCAATGGATACTGTCTACCGACGATGCCTTGTGCTGCCAACTTCAATTTTCCCGCGAGGATCTGAATATCAAGTACTCGCCGGTGCATAATTAGTACGGTCGTCGAGCAACGATTTAGATTTTTTATCAAGCTTGTAAACGGGGGATTTTATGTTTTTCCTTTTTCATTTTTCTTTTCCTTTCCAATTTTTTTCATTTGAAATTACACTTTTTGTGAGTTTAATTTATTTATTTATAAAAATGAGCTCTATCATTCATCAAACAACAATTAGGACCACTGACATATAGCATCGTTTACTGGAGAAATTTTTTCTCCTCCATTTCATAATCTACAGATGAACTAAAACCATTGGAATTATATGTACTAGAGGCAAGCTAAATCAAAATCATTCTTTGCCGAAAGGGGAAATATCACAACAAAGGAAAGCTTCAAAACTTGTATATAAATTACATGTTTCCTAAATGTACCACTTCAATGCATTACCCCACCAAAATGGATTAGAACAATGTCATAATGGTACTTACTGCTATGAAATAAAGCATTCGCAAAAGCTACCAACGAAATTTTAGCAGCATATCATGAAAGGCTAAGCTAGCTTTAATCAAATCAAGATTCGCCAATAGACACAACAAATTCAGTTATCATGACTAGCAAACACTGTATGGAGCTTCGACAAGGAACACTGAATATGACAAGGGAGAATAACCTTCAATCGTAACTAGCATTCAAGAACTTCAATAGTTCATTCCGGTTGTTCTCTGCCGTCTTGTCCTCCTTTGTTTTCTCAAGTTTCAACAATATCTACATTATCATAAAAAGAATAAAAAAAAATATATTGTGGTAACGAGCATATATAAAGCAACAAATGAAATAGATGTGTCGAGGATATCACACATGCAACTGCAAGGTTTTTCTCTATGTTTCAGCAAATCATTTTTAATGTACCAATTTTCCACAATTTTCTACATGGAGAATAACTGCAGGAGATTTTAGTATATCATAGAACTGGTATTAGAGGACATGGGCGTAACTATAAAAACTCTGGTGGGTCCATTGGTATTTACACTGATCGATGGAAATTTATGTAATCTTTCAGGGCTTTCAACACTCAAGAAATATTCCAACAAATTCTTGTTTCTCATTCTAGTCGATAATATTTCACTGAACAATTATTGATTAGAATCCCCATAGAGGTATTCAGCATGGAAAAATTCTAATAACCAATGCAAAGCATGATTAATCATTATAAGTTACGACTTGAACACTCTTACATAGTGCGAGTTACAAGCTTACATCCATGACTGATGCAATACTTGAAGGGTAAGATTAAATTGAGGTTCTACTGTCAACCGTAGGACTAGGAGCCAATCTATGAGAACTATGCAATAAAAATATTCAAGAATGTTGGAAAATACAATATAAACACATAATGTCACTTGCAGACATGCTTCTATAGAGGTAAGACAAACCTTTTTCCCTGATACAGCACTGCGTCGAGCACCATCATCTTTGTCCCTTCCCAAGAACTGGATGAGATATATGGAAATCACATTAGCAAAAAAGACATAATCCTGCCGGGATCCTTTTTTCTTTTCTTTTTCTTATGCTCTTTTTTAATTTGTCTGTTATTCGTTTATTCTAGTGACGCTCACAAGTAAACAATTCATATAAAAGTAGACAAACCTTAGAAAGCTGCACAGGACCACCATTCTCCTCCTGCTTCTGTGTGTGGGCTCACATGGGCAGGACAAAATCAAGCCATAAACATCCGGGAAACCCAACCAAGAGCCGTATTAAAATGTCACAGGCACCAGCTCCAAATTTCCAAGAGCCATTCACAAAAGGCAGAAAGTACAATTAGAACTCCGTTTTAAAGAATCAAAGGTAGAAATCAGAGAGAGAGCAAGAGAGAATTTACTTCACGAGAAAATGATAAGTCAGTATATAAAAATCCCAATCTTAAAGAGGAACACATGGGATTAAAGCAAAAATAAAGTTAATGCTTCAGCAAAGAGACCAACAACAAAGCAAACTAAACATCACAAGATACAAGAGATAACATGCTCTACCTCTTTGGCTCTCTCCTTATGGTGTCTATGGCTATGTCTTTTCCCTCTTTCTTTACCTTTGCTCTGAAAATGCAAGCAATCAACAATCAGTATAATATAAGACAATGCATATAAACTATTTATCAACTTAGATTCTTGGAAGACCCCTCCAGATGACCACCTTCTTTGATTTATCACTCCGTTTATGCTTCTTTGAATGATGAGATACTTCGCGTTCACTGTCCGAAGAACTGCAAAAGCCGGAAACAAAATAAATATAATGCAAACCAAGTATATAATACTTCAAGTTCACTGATTCCATGAATGGAAACAGATTAATAAACCAGGATAAGAATACTTAGCGTGTCAATAGTGTTCTCAGTAGCACATCAAAAATCATAAGCACATTAGTATTACATTAAATAATCAGATGATCATCATTGCCCCTTTTTCCTACTGAGCAGATGAGTAACTTCCCAAAAATATTGATAGATTAAATATTATAACAGTGCATTTACCACAACTAACGAGCATTGTCTAACATGAAGACAATTTGATTTATGTGCAATCTGCTCAGCCTACAACACACTTTCTTGCCAGAACGTAAAGGAGCATTCTGGAGAAACTTATTATTCGATTCATATTTGTACAGCTTGCATTGTAATTAGACACCTATTAGATAGCTTATAAGGAAAATCTTTATGTTGAAAAAGTTAGTACGACAACCACAAAATATGTCATATATAAAACCCAAAAAGCAGCAGAAATGTACTGTTTACTGATGGGTCTCCACCTTGATAAACCCACAGATTACAAAGGTATATAACAGCAGATTGTTTCAACTCTATTTGTAGGTCCATAGATATATACCAAACAAACTGAATGTGGTGTTTATAAAATAATTATGTCAACCTTTCCACCTCAGTGTGGCGCAACTTTAAACTCCTTTAAACTGTGTAGCGCAACACCCCACTTGTTAGAGTCACAATACGTACCCCGTCAATTACAAAGCTCAATGAAAACGAAATGAAAAGAAAATTTGGACTTCAGGGCAATGATCCTCATTAATCTCAAGCTTCAACTATATGCTCACCAGCCACCCTGCTTCAGAATGTAGGCAGCTACTCAAGTATCCTCTACATTGCAATAATTTTGTTGGGCCATAAGGCCCAGCAAGCTTATTTTTTATCAATCACCATATAATTAGTATACCAAGATCAATGTTAGCTGTGCGGTTTCAACCATACTGTAACAAGAAGTCACAAAATTCTGATCATAAGTTGGAAACAAACAACTGTCACCAGACCTAAAGCTTGCAAGCTCAAACTTTTCTTTATAATGTCCATCCGATTGTTTTATAAGATTGCAGGTTTCTCTGATGTAGAAGCTTGATTGGTTTGGATACAAAAATGTGAATTATAGGCACAAGAACCGTCTCTACTATGTTGGAAACATCAAATTAAGGTTTGGATGATAGAATCCAAAACTACTTCCAAGCATTTATACCATCTAGTTTAGCTAACCATACAATAAACTCTAGTATAATTATAAGCTAGGGTTAGATCGCACTACTTGATTTTCTAATCAGGGCCTAGACATAGAAGTATTCAACTCGAGCTGCAGATTCAAATAAAATTACAGGCAGACAACCAAATCCATCAACAATAACAAGAGATCAAACAAACAGTCAGATGTTCTCGACCTGTAAGATTCGGAGGACGATGAAGAGGCGTAGCTTTCAGAGGAAGATGACGAATGACGCTTGCGGTGACGATTTTTCGTTCGAGGGCGGCTCTTTTTGCTCACCTTGAGAGACTCTCTATCGATTTTATGGCGGCGATGGTGGCTGCGGCGGCGACGGCGGCCGCGGGAAGCATCGGAGGAAGAAGACGACGTCGATGGGGACGATGAAGCGCCTGCCATTGAAAATTTCAGGATTAAAATCGGCTCTTTTTGCTCACCTTTAGAGACTCTCTACCGATTAAATGACCCTGAAATTCGAAGGTCAGGTCGATTTAAGCGGCCCGTTGCTTTAGGTAAATGGATGCCCTAAAATCGGTTTTTTTTAAGGGAAAATTGTACCAACCCCTATTATACAAACTAGTATGGTACCCGTGAGCAGCACGGCGGGGTCATTTCATCAAATCTTTTTTTTTAAACTTTATTTTTATATTTATTAATAAATTAATAATTTCATTATAATGGAAAAGATGATACAGAAATACAAAATGTAAACAAAATCATATATTATTAAACACTTCTCTATACACAACATTATTGGTTTGATTTTCTTTCAAACCTTCTTCTCCACAAATTAAAATTTTCAGACCCTTTCTGTTAGTAACACGGGAGACGGCGACATATAACTGGCCATGACTAAAAACTGGTTTCTTCAAGAATAAGCCAACATGAGATAATGATTGACTTTGACTCTTGTTTATAGTCATTGCGTACGAAACCATAATGGGGAACTGCCTTCTTTGAAATTTGAATGGTACTCTAACATCCGAAGGAATTATTGTCATCCGAGGTATCAAAACTTTATCACCTGCATGATCGCCAATAAGAATTTTACACTCGAGAACATGATTGGAGAGTTTAGTCACAACCAATCGTGTACCATTGCAGAGTCCCATTGAGTGATCCATGTTCCGCAACAACATAACTGGAGTTCCGACCTTCAAATTCAACTCATGGTTCGGTGTTCCAGAACACTTGATAGTATTCAAGAACTCAGGAGTATGAAGTTGTGCCACAAAGTCGTTATTGGAGTCGGATTTACACGTACTATCTGAACTTAAATACGTGCGTCCCTCAGTCAAATTCAACGACGACATGTATTCATTTATAGATTCTACGATCTCGAGTGTTGGCGCAAGTATAGCTCTGTCCATCAAGTAACTTGGATCATCGGGTGCATTCTTGAACATCGGATACGTGCTTTCAACAATTTTCGCAATTGGATCATCGGATGGCTCTAGTAATAGATCATCTGGTATGTCTATCGGAGAACATCCATCATTTGTACCCCCCAATGTTCCATCTCCAATGCTTGCTATCCAATCAGCAAAAGCGGCTAGCTCGTCACGTTCATTTGAATCGCCAATGCTCTGAAGACGCATGTTCTTTGTAAGCCTAAGCACAGTACAGTCTCCCCAAATGCTAGAAGAGTTAATAGCAGCATTAACAATCTCCTGACGACTCCCCTTTGGAACTACCGGAAGGATTTGGCGAAAGTCTCCACCAAACACAACAGTCTTGCCTCCGAACGGTTTATGATGATTTGCCGGGTCGAGTGCTCCCATTACTGCCTTAAAAGATGTTTGAACAGCTTCAAAACAATGCTTATGCATCATTGGGGCCTCATCCCATATGATCAATGAAGAGCGAATAATCAACTCGGCAAGAGGGCTAGCCTGATTGATCTCACACGATGAATTTTCATGCACAGAAATAGGAATGCCAAATCGAGAATGTGCAGTTCGTCCGCCCGGCAACAGGAGAGATGCTATTCCACTTGATGCAACACAAAGCACAATTCGACCGTGCGATCTTAGCCGAGCAGCTAAAGTCCTCCACAAGTATGTCTTTCCGGTTCCACCATAACCATACACAAAAAATACGCCGCCCCTACCGGAATGAACAGATGTCATTATTTTGGAATAAACACCCCTCTGTTCATCGGTCATATGCATCAGCAATGCATCATGCTCAATAGCTAGAGCCTTACGGTCGTAGTTAAGTTCATCCAAAACCAGACGGTTCGTACTTGAATTAATACTGCCCATATCTGGAAAAGGCATAGTAGAATAGTCCCGAAGACTTGTCCCACGCTGTCTCAATAATGTCTCAATCTCTGCAAGAACTAGATTTTTTATATCTGCATCACTCAGCTTCAAATCTGAAATAATGATAAACGACATATTAGATTTCAATTTTTACGTTGAATGAAAAAAGGTTAATAATAATTAAAAACAATATTACTTTTCTACTTGATAAAAGCATAATATAAAACCTATTAAATCTCATACCTTCATTATCGAAAATACGACGTTGCTTGTATAGTACATCGTCAGATAGAAATTGCCAACACCGCTCCCAAATTTCATCAGGTTTGCCTAAGGATCCAGAAACCAATAAAGATGCGAACATGCGCCTAAGAGAATCAGCAGATGCCCACTGACTTGCTTCGGTAATTCCATCAATGTACTCTCGATCATCACCCAACAAACCTCGTGCATAGCAAGCATCGCGATAGGACATGTGTTGAACATCTTCTACCTTCATATAATCCTCGTGGCAAGTAGCACCACGAACAACATTGACCAAACACCTCAAATAATAATTATCACCAGCATTGGGAGGAACATAGCTCAAACGACCTATACAACCTGGCCTTATTCGAGGAGTCCAAACTCTTTCTGTTTTGTTCCAAACAAATTTTGTCGGTGCCTCAACATATGTCAGTTTCCTCGCCTCAGGATACATCTTGTTCGCTTCCATCCATGCCAAAAATTGGCTCTCATTAACTGTGGGATTATTAAGAACTGCATTGATAGGATCATCATCCTCAAAAACAATATTATGTTCACCTTTCAAATGGAAACTCAGACGTTGCACGGAAGGTTTTTTGTACTGCAGTTCAAAACCCAATAGCCTCCACGCCGCCTCGCAAGAAGACACATATCGACAGTCATAGAACATATTGATCTCGTCAACATGTTTTTCTATCTCTCCGTACGCAGTCGTCTTATAGAATGAGGCGGTGACACGATCATGACCTTTATTGACGTACTTGAAAAGGTACTTTATGGATCGCGATTGATTGAACCACTCGACATTAATATGCGCTCCATATTTCATCAACAATTTGCGATTGTGGGGCACGACATAACCGTTATGGACAACGACACCATTTTTTTCAATATGCCTTCCATTGTCTCGACGTTTATATCGTGGATAACCTTCATTGTCGACAGTGGTGAAATCGACAAACTTTTTAGGAAACCGTTTACTACACTTGCCATCCACCATGCACGAAGATGATTTTCTAGCCAAACCACAAGGTCCGTGTATCATGTGCTCTTTTACTGCCTCATAATACAAAGGATCCGACGTCTCATCAGGTATCTCTGCAGATATTATTTTATCAATGTCTGACGGATTTGGGAACTTATTTTCTTTGGCGAAAAATAGTAGTATATGAGCATGCGGCAATCCACGCTTCTGAAATTCAATGGTGTAGACAACTACAAAACAAAAAAGAAGATAAAACAATTAAAAGATATTTTAGAACTGGTGTTAGACACCACGATAGACATATATACAAAATTGTTTTTTTCTTAAAATAATACCTGCTACAACTCTGCCGAAAATTTGCTTCTTACGAAAATCCCTGATCAATTCCTTTAATTTTGACTTGAAAACTCTGTAAATAATATTCGGGCGATCCTCATGTCGCAATCTCTTTGGTTCCAAAAATCGAACAATCTCGGGCCATTTTGAATTGCACGTGAATGTTATAAACAAATCGGGATAACCTGCCCATCCGCAAATTGCCATTGCATCCTGATAGTTTCGAATCATGTTTCGAGGTCCCTCGGTGAATGAAGAAGGCAGGATAATTCTCTTTCCTCTAGAGCTTGGATCGACATCGCCCTGAAGAACTGCATCCGCCAATCTATTGTAAATATCACATCGGAGTCGACTCTGATTGGATCGTATGTACCGCAACCTCGATGATTCAACCATGGTTAAATTGTTGAAACAATCTTCTCGATGAAAGAATAGTAGATGGTTCGTGTTTCCTATCATGGATCCGATATGCAAAGTATTCCCGAACGCTCACTGTTTTGCGACCCTTTTCTTTTTCAACTTTCCGATTTGAAAACGGTATATCTTCTCTATAGCCATCCTCGCCATAGGGCAAAAGAAGTGGATATTGTAAAGCCAGATATGAAGCATTAAGCTCATTTATTCGCTGGAGTCGTCCGCTCTTGGTTTCAACCAATATATCTCGCTCACCCATAGCCTGATCGAAATCTCCAACGACTAATACAACAACTTCAGAACTCGTCGGCAAGTTATAAAGTCTGGCATCATAAGACCTCCTTCCAATCAAACGAATCTTGACATTAGTTTCACCATGTTCTTGAATTCTTTCTCTAGCCAAACGAAATGATTTCACAAGTTCGTTGTGCTCATCCAACATGGTCGTCAAACCAGAAATAATTTCACCATTCAAATCGATAGCACCGTCAGCATTTCTGATAAATGAAAGGAATTATGTAAGGCAATCAAATAATATAAAAATAAAAATAATAAATACTCGAGTAAGGATATTGTTTGAATGCTGACCTGACAGCATTCATTCTGTTGGTTACTTCATTATCAGTGTCATATATATAGAGCTGAGCAAACTTAGGAGTTGACCCTTCAGAAGGAAGTAAACTACCCATGAGATGGTAGTTTTGTCCGTGCAAACTGAAGACTGGTGGTCCAGATCCTTTATTGATATCTGTATTGATCTTGCCTCCCAACGAAGTAAAGCCGAACATACTGTTGTAGGATCTAATATTTTCTTGAAAGTGTTTGCTAGTGCGGCTATCTCCATGTAGCAATTCACTCAAATATTGTGGCGGATTAGGTAGAACGGGAAGTTCAATGATACCATTCACACAACCAACCACCGTACTCGGTAACAGCTGATGTTCTTTCAGAAGACTTTCTCTCGGAATACCAAAACATTGCTCCGCAGTACACACATTCGACATTGGCGTCACCCATGTCCCAGTACTCTACGATTTTAATGATGAATAATATTATAATACTATATAATAAAATGAATTTATAAAATTTATCATAAAATCAAAATTAAAATGAAAACCAACCGGATTGTGTAGAAGTGCTTGCCAAAACTTTTC